GGTGAGGTGCTGCTGAAGGTGGATGTTGAAAATGCGTTTAACTCAATAAACCGAGGAGCTCTGCTGACACAGGTAAAACAAAATATTCCATCCATATACCATTACCTTTGGCAATGTTACAGTTCACCATCTTCACTCATGTACAAAAAACACCAAATTTTATCCGCTGTTGGTTGCCAGCAGGGTGACCCGCTTGGTTCGGCAATTTTTAGTCTGGCAATTCATCGATTTATTTCTGGTCTCAAATCAAAATTCAATGTCTGGTATTTAGATGATGGAACACTGGGAGGCGAAGCGAACTCAGTGCTTGACGATTTAACCAGTCTTATTGCTACTTTCAGTTCTATTGGCCTCAAATTGAATTTTTTAAAATGCGAACTTTTTGTTAATGAGAATTTACCCACCTCCGAAAAAGATCAAATTGTTAGCAAATTTAACTCCCTAGCCCCAAATATAAAAATAATTAACAGCAAATCGCTTCGCCTTCTAGGTGCTCCTATTCTGTATGACTCCTTTCAATGCTTTGTGAGTGAACAGATTTTAAAATTTGAGGAGTCATCCAGTCGTCTAAAAGAAACTAAAATACTCTCTTTTTGTGCCAAATTTTACGTACGTGCTGCGGTGTTCAACTCTTTGGATGCACGTCCCATTTTTAAATCGCCTCGATGATATTATAAGGAAAACTTTGATAGAAATTCTAAATTGTCCATTAAATGAAAATTCCTGGGTTCAGGCCACTCTTCCGATTAGAGCTATGGCTCCCCCATATATGGGTTATTATAATATTAAGGAATTTATGGATGATAATAACCCCTGGGAAGGGTGATCGCTACCAAGCTATTTCTAATTTGTCTTGTGTTGTTGATTGTAAACATGATTGTAAGCTATTATTAAAAAAAATAGTCCCTCTGGGTTTCTTGCTGGTTCTTCCCAGGACAGAGGTTTTTTTGCGAACCAGTGGTAAATTAAAAAAGTGACTTTCAATAAGTATTTTTATAATCTACATTGAATAAAAAAGTTTCTATTTCTATTTCTAGACTTGGTGGTCTAGGCATCAGAAGAGTTTCCAGCGTAGCACTTCCGGCTTTCTTGTCTTCAGTTCATAGCACGTCAGACCTCATTATTAACCTATCACTCGGTGATGTAGAGGTCTCGTGGTTGGCTTGGCCTGGATCAATAAGACCGGGCCGGATCAAGTTTTTCCGAAAAACCCAACTTCGCAGAGGCATTGGGATGAGCCACTCTGTATCCAGGTTCAAAAAAACCTATTAGAAAACTGTGCGAACCCTACAGAGCGAGCCCGTCTTTTAGCATCTGTGGAGAAGGAGTCGGGCTATTGGTTGAATGCGCTGCCCTCATCGAATATCGGTACACTCTTGGACAGTACTACTTTCTCACTTTCTATCAGCCTGAGATTGGGTTTTAAAACCAATGAGCTCCATCGCTGCCGCTGTGGTAAAGAGGTCGACATTCTTGGCCACCACGGCCTGGCATGCCAGCGAAGTGCTGGTCGCATCCCTCGCCATGCAGCCATTAATGACGTCATTCAACGAGCCTTAACCAGTGCAAACGTACCTGCAATTTTAGAGCCAAACGGTATATTACGGGACGATGGCAAGAATGCAACTTGTGTTGACACATTAGCGCCATCACATCTTGCGGCGACTGCACAGAAGGCAGGCGCTGCTGCTGCCGTTGCCGAGTCTAACAAGCGGCGCAAATATGTAGCCCTCGGAGAGGGATACATGTTTGAGCCGTCTGGTGTAGAAACACTGGGGCCGTGGGGTCCTGATGCAAGACGTTTGTACAGGGATATCTCATCACGCCTTGTCAATGTCTCTGGTGACCCAAAAGCTAGAAGATATTTTGGTCAGCGGATCAGCCTCGCAATACAGCGAGGCAACTCAGCCAGTCTTCTGGGCACACTACCAACAGACGGCGGCGATTTAGCAAGTATTTTTTACTTAAATTAAGCGTTTTATACTGTATAATTTTGTAAAATAATATTTTCCTTTAACTTGTATATTATGTTAATTAGAAATATTTATGATTTTAGTATATAAAAAAATTGTTAATGGAAAAAAAAGTAAATAAAATTACATCCTGGTTCTGATGGAATTGTAAGAGTAGCAGATGTCTACACGACGAATGGCATTGTGCGCCGTGCCGTCCACAACCTGTGTCCTTTGTCGAGTTCAGCCACAGCAGAAGCACCTCAAATTCCTGAAGACTTTGAGGGGGGGGGGGGAGGATGTTTAATCTCCGTACTTGAACGCGTCCGAGAGTGACGTCTCTCATGGTCACGAACTGGCCGGGTGCGACATTACGCTCTGAACTCCGTACCCGACAACTAGTTTCAAATAAAATTATTGTAATTAACTCATTAAATGTACTATAGGTACCCCTATCGCGGAGTTTCATTGTACTTTAAATCCACAAGAAATTGAAGACCAGCGTAATCAACGACAAAGGGTTTTTTTAGCGGTAAACGCGTAAACTTTTGCCTTCTTCTAAACTGGACTAGATTTAGTCGCCCCGCCCATTTTGAAATTTTGTTCAAAAATGTCTCGACTTCAGACATAAGTTTGTTCCGATACTCGGTGACGTTTTCCCAAGAAATATTGGCATGGTCGGTGTCAAGCAACACCAGTGCTGTTGACTGCATAGCAATGAATGTTAACAGTTTGTAACCTATCATTGATATACAGAAGAAACAGCGTTGGTGATAGCACGCAGCCTTGTGGAACACCAGCGTTAATGGGCTTGTAATCGGAGCATGCACCATCTACTACGACCTTGTTGCTCTGCAAGAAAACTGGTGATCTATTGTAATTGCACAACTTCACGGCAAGCCCATAGGAAGGAAGCTTCGAAAGAAATGATAGAGCCATGCTGCAGTTGTATTAGTAGCATAGTTGTAGCATGAATGGTTCGGCTAGACCGGGGAAGGACCACGTTCTCACAGAATACCAGCGTAAAATAGTAGTTTAATGCTTCTGTGTTTTGTATGGTGAGTGTAGAGGACCGGAGACCCTTTTTACTGGAAATGAGGCATTCCATCTTAGTCCTCACGGGTGATACCGCATCTGCATTTTGATTCGAAATCGAGGATACAAAGGTGTCAATGGGCCACAGCAACCATTTACCATCACGTGGACTGTATCTTTGTTTGTCATTGCCATTGTGGTCTTGCCCCGGTCGAGCCGACCCATTCGTGCTACAACTATAATATAGCTGCAGCGTGGCTCTACCACGTAAAGGTAGGTAGGTAATTTTCCGGAATGGTCTATATTCAGCAGTGGACTTTTGATAGGATGTAATGAATTAATGAATGATATGGACAGTTATATAAACATAATCTCTATAATATATACCTAAAAATCTATTGTAGTCCGTTAGTTTCGCTAAAACTCGAAAACGGCTCGAGCAATTACTATAATGAATTGTTTTGTGTGCGTTAGAGTGGGTCCCTGGACGGTTTAGATTCACAATTGCACCCGGTAGGTGGCGCTGTTGTCAAGATCAAGAAATGACCTGTGCGAAGCCGAGATGGATCGCTAGTATATTATGAATATTATGTTATTTGTCATAAATGAGAACTATAAAAATAACAAATCGCAAAGCGCCTAGTGAAAAACAATGAGCAAGTTCCTCTAAATAGAAAGTTGCTATTTGGTTACTTCTTCTCTTGTTTCCTATTCTTTCAACTTCAATATGTAGAATGACCTTTTTTACCGTCTGCAAAAAATAGGGTGTATCATGTGAACGGAGCTTATGGCACTGGTATTTTTATAAATTAAAAAACAATCAAATCAAATGTTTGAAAATTTTTTTTAAACAATGACTGCCTTCGCCCTGTGCCCTTGAGCCTGTGACCCTGAAAAATAACAAGGTCAGAGATGCCTACTAAATTTATTGTTTTATTGCCGTTCTTAAATTAGGGTGAATATGATTTGAAGTTCGATAGATTTAAATTCATTTTTATATATTTATTTTAAAATGTTAGCTTTTATCTTTTGTAAATTATCAGTGTTATAGACTTCTACTCCGTTCTCATGTTACACCTTATTTTTTCCAGACCGTAAAAAGGTCATCCAGTAGAGTGAAGAGGGCAAAGGAGCATTCAGCTCATCTAATGGTAAGTGAATAACACTGCCCCTTAACCTGAACATCCGCAATGTCAGTGAACTAGCAGGTGCTGTGTTGGTCTATGAAAAAGGAGTACCTAAGCTATTTGGAAAATTGTATACCTAGTACCTACTTGTATTCTAATGCTGGTCCCGAGCTTCCAACCAATTTAAGCAGGCATTGGGAGATAACACGAGTAAGTGCTCATCATGTGGCCACTTTTGGTACTAAGCTTCTGAAGTTACAGACAAGTTGACAAAATCCCCAGGAGAATATTATCATCACTTTTATATAACGTTAAAGTAACAAACGAACTAACTGTTCAATGAAATAGTGGAAGCCCTTAGAAAATGTTTCAAGTAGATAATCAACAACACAAACAAAAAGGGCAACAGATGCAAATTCCAATGTCACTTCTATAATGCTATGTCGTTGTGGGCAGTGCGGACATGGACAACTGCCTCATATACCCCCTAGAAACATAACTGTATTATAAATCTTTGAAACAATGCTGGATAAGGGGATTAATTGTGGAGTTTCTTTTCTTTCTTTCACCGATTATTCTCCGGACAGATGATGTTTATTTTGAAACACTACCAACAATGTTTTTTTTTTCATATATCGAGAACTAGAGAGGTTTCATTTAATTACATCTCTTATTAGGTATTGATACATTCCCGCGACTTCAGTATATAGGTATGCTGACAAGGAGCACTTTTACTTAAATTAACAGGATTTTCCACCTCAAGGTTTACTTTGCCTACTGTTTTGCTTGTGTACAACTTTTTAATATGTAGGTAACACGTATATAAACAAAGGCAACAAAACCCCTACCGATAAGACGGTTCTTAATAATATAAATATTATTAAAAATGTTATTAGATAGTTTACAAACAGGTATTAAATGTTATTGGATAGATTAATAACTTATAAATTTACTTTTACTTAGACATAACTTGAAGGCATGACACTACCCAACAATGAACTTATTTTAAGCTTACTAGTTTAGTTAACATTAAAATATTATAGTTTAGGAACATAAAAATAGTTTTCATAGTGCTTACCTAATACGTTACTACTTTACAATGACCTTATTCTACTCTTTGTACGCCCTTTGAAAATGCGACCTGACGTCTATCTCTTTCTAACAACAGTGACCTCTACGATCGCGTTCTCACCTCACGTATCTCAAGAAAAACCCCGTTACTTTTACCAGTGCAAAAAGGCGCTATCTGCGAAGACTTAGAGACGGAGTTCACAATATATTGCTTTCACAGTCATACTAGTTGTTTGCGCACAAGATTAGCAAGCGAGAAAAACGCAACACAAAATCCAGTCTCAAAGACCGGTGGTGCAAGTTTTTTGACAGTACGATTCAAACTTTGCGTAGTGAGTTCGTGGGATCAAAGATGTTTATAAAATAAAATAAATTAATTCGCTATTCAATTTTAAAATAAAAATGTGTAAATTGTGAATAGTGTACATAAGTGTAATAACTAATAACAGAACGAAAGAATTTTTGTTTTGGATTTAAGGTATGTATTTGGGTTTAACTGTAATTGACAGTTAGGTAAAGGCGTATTTACATGCGGAACTTTCTTTGCATAACACGTTTTTGTTAGTCATCAAGGACAGCCGGTTGGACACCAGGATTTTGGGTTTTAAAAAAAATAAAAATATTTGCTAACGTATTTTTATTCTGTTGTTATTTTATATTTTTTAAGTAATGTATGTAAGTATATTGTATATATAATTAATGAATGGGTTATCAATGTTTCTATTTACGTTAGAAATATTAGCAAATTAATATATTGAACAATCGCAATATAGTAATGCACATTTAGAATTTCATCGTCATCATCATCATCATTATTACAATCATTCATAAGTCGACTGCTGAACATAAATGACGTGAATACATGGCTGCCATTAAACTTGGCAGCAAGGTTGGCAACCGCAGTTTTTTTTAATCGAAATTGTTACTAGGACGATTCCGCTGCCCATCTTCTGACTTTGTTTCCCTTTATCGCCTATTATGACTACACGGCAGGATATGGGGTAGTAGGTTACGCCGGGACAGCACGGTTTAACCTATTGCATGGTGGAGTCACGCTGCAGCTATTTTAAGGGTACAGTACGAATAGGTCGGCTCTACTGGTGTAGGACCACGCTCTCACAGGATACCTGCGGGAAACAGCAGTATAATGCTGCTTGGTGCCAGGTGCTATTGTAAGTACAGCTAGAGACCCTATTCACTTGTCACAAGGCATTCTGTCTTAGTGCTCAGGGGTGACAACGCATTTGCATTTTGATTTTAACCCAGGATAGATGTAAATGTTTATGAGCCACCGCAATCACCACTTTATTACCTATATATACCTACCTAAAAAAACTACATACTTCATTTTCAGATGTAAAACTAAATTACAGTCATAAAACATACATGAAAATTAAATATTTAATTGTTTTAATTAATAAATAGTTTAATTAAAAACTTTAATTATTACTAAAACAATAAAGTTTACCAATTAAATAAAAACTCACTACTAAGTTTACCAATTTTAGTAAAAGAAAGTATCTTATGTAAAACCTATTATTTATTTCAAGATTTGACTTCAAGATCGTAAATCGTCAGGAATAGTTAGCTGATAACGAAAACGCAACTTAAGAACTCTTAAAAAATACCACCTAGGTACTCAACTATGTAGGTACCTATATCTGTTTCAATTTGCATCAATAAAGTTAGATAGGTACTTCTATCTGCGGAAGAAACATTTGCCGCCATTCCCACACTCTATTGTATGCAGTTCACTGACATGGAAGCCATGCACAGCCATTGAAGTAATATGTACACGGCAAACACCTCTTCCCTTGTTTTTTACTAGATTACAAATTAACTAATAAAAAAGTAGACGCCGACTTCTAAATAAAATCATTGAATAAAACTATTTAAATATGAAATAATTTCATATTCTGAGGTTGGTGCTAACTTAGCACTGCTAAGATTCCGGTAGTGTAGAGTAATTACCCTTATTGGTCTTACATATACACTGTAGGTACAGTGTACAGAATATAGATGAATTAATTCCGAGACTTAAAGTATGGAAGTCGAGCATGTATGCGTAGGTATATGGATGTGAAGGAGGCGAAAGAGGTGTGTCAGGATCGTGCCAAATGGAAGTCTGTAGTCTCTGCCTAACCCTCTGGGTGATAGGCGTGAGTGTTTATCTATGTTAAAGAGTCGTGTAAATAAGTTAAACATTTCATTCCCCATTCTGTCGGCATAAGGAATAGATTTTTTTTTCTAAATGGATAGAGGACCATTCCTTAAATAGAACCTATTCAATAAAAATATTCATTAAAATCGGTTCACAAATTCAAGTTACTTTTTATTTTCGGTCTAAAAAACAGTGTTGCCGTTGCTGCACTTTCGTTTCAGTAAATTTGCATTAAGTATAATGAAAAAACGTTACTTCATTTCTAACATTATAAAAACTCTTACTTAGTTATTACTGTCCTTCAGACTGAATTCGTTCACAACCGAGTCAATAACGTTGTTTCAGCAGATTATAGAGAACGAATGCAAGCCCTATCTATCGATTTCCTTACTCTCATAGTTAGAGGAAACAGCGAGAGGGGTCTGCCGCAGGAACAATTTGCGCGTTTTTCAAGGGATGGGTGTGAATCAACGCCAAATTACTGTATATAGGCTGCTATTGAAAGATTTGAGTCTGGGACCTCATTTTTTTATAGAATAAGGGCAAACGAACGCACAGTCTACCTGATGGCAAGTGTATGCAGTGGCGCATAGTCAACCACATCTATCCTTGGTTAGGAATCAAAATGCAAATGTGTTGTCACCCCTGTGGACTAATATGGAATGCCTCATTTCTAGTAAAAAGAGTTTACAGTTCTCTACACTCGCCATATGAAGAATAGCACTACGCTGTTATTTTACGGTGTTATTCTGTGAGAGCGCAGTCCCCGGTTGAGCCGACCCATTCGTGCTACAACCACAATATATCGAGCTGTAGCATGATTCTACCAGCATTATATCAGCAGTTGTGCTTACGATTACTAGACTAGCGAGGCAGTTACAAAGTAATTAAAAAAAATAAAGTATCAATATTATGTCTCACTGTTCGAAACAGACCTTTTAGGGAAAAAAGATTCTATCGCACTTCCCGACACGTGTTGACAGACTTCACATGTCTTATTTTTTTTAATTTCTCTCACACGCAGTTTTTCTCAAGGATCCTTTCTTCACAGCCGAGCATGGTATATCATTTAAAATAGTATTAATAATTTCATTTTAGCCGCCGATAATGGCAGTAAACATTAAATTATGAATCTTATTTAATTTTGGTTTGCATATATAAATGGCTATGTCGCTGTAATGTAAAAAAAGAAAAAAGGGCGAAATGCCTACTTAAGAAAAAAAAAGAAAGAAAAGACACTTTTAGAGAGATTTTTCCGTTGTAGTGACTAGATATCTCGCAACTTTGATCCTGCTGCCCAGATTACGAGTATCGTATATCGTCTTATATTTTGAATTTAAACCACTCAAACGCACAAAAAAAATCATCAAAATCGTTGGAGTCATTTTCGAGTTTTAGCGAGACTAATTGATTTTTATTTATTTAGATAAATTATAAATAATACTTATTGAAAGTCACTCTTATGTTAAATTCACCACTGGTTTGAAAAATACCTCTGTCAATCATCATCAAACATTAAAATTAAGTACACAAAAATTAACAACACAACAAGTGGTAAAATTAAAAATTTTGTACAACCGGCTTCAATACCACCGAATCAATGTATTCCAAGTCAATTAAATACGTAAAGGAATACTTATAAACTTCTGGTCACATCTTGATCAAATTTTTATACGACACACGAAAAACACCAGATTTCAAACAAAAAAAAAGAATCTTAAAAATTGGTTAACCCAAAATAAGTACTGATATAACACACATAAAAATATACAATCGCATTGAATACCTTATCTTTTATAAAATCGGTTAAAAAGAAAAAAAATATGCTTACTTGTGTTACTGTGACTTATTGAATATTGAGTTCGTTATTGTGTAGGCGACGGTACGGCCACCTCTATCACAATTTTCCATTTTAATTCCTTAATATGATAAGAAGCCTTTTTATACAATCTTTATTTTTAAACTTGGTAAAAGTCAGTTTTTGTACATATTTAGGGTGTTGTCAAAATTACCTCTAACGAAACCTACGGGACCCAATGTGGTGATAGATTCTTCTACGCCGCCACGCCATGACACATCTAGTTTCAAATAATTTCTTTACAATTTTTAAGTTGCATTTTTATCAACATGAAAAACGCTAGACGCTTGAATACAAGGCAGAAACACGCTCTCACAGAATACCAGCTCGATATATCATAGCGGTAGCGGTGTAAAAATATCCACTACTCCATATCGTTCTATGGGTGTCGTAAGAGGCGACAGAGAGAAATAAACCGGGAACTGGCACCAGCGTCTTCCTCATAACAACTAAGAAGTAAAAATAAACCGTGGTTGCCAACTCCTGCCAAGCCAGCTATGGAAAATATCTCCCCTGTCACACAATGTAGTGGGAGGCCTATAAGTTCAGCAATGGACTAAGGATTTAATGGATGGATTTCTTGTAAGAACAAAACTCTTGCTAACTGAGAAATTTACTTAGTAATTTAATCTTTTAGATCTTGAGTTTTTTAAGTAAACCATAAACAACGCATTGTTAAGCAAACAAGCATAGAACTCTTTTATAAGTCCGTAATCACACTAGTACACGGATGGGTACTTTTAATACAAAGCTATGAGATAGTTACTTAAGACATTTCCACAGTCTGTCAACATTATCGAGGCGAAATGAGACAATGGGTATGTTCCAAAATGTTTCCAGTATACTGGCGAGTGCAAATGACGTCATTAATTGACGCCGTATTCCACCATATTCGATATAACGAATCACCAATATGGCGTCGAATTATGACGTCATTTGAATTTTTCAGTGTACTGGGTTATATTTCGGAACATACCCAATGGATTGCGATGTTCTATAGAAAAAATTTTATGCGTGACATGCAGCGCCACGCTGCAACTATACGGTTATTACACTAACGAGTCGGCTGGACCGGGGTAGGACAATGCTCTCACAGAATACCAGCATAAAATGGCAGCCTAATGCTGCCGTGTTTCGTATGTGAGTATAAAGAATCGGTGACCTTTTTTACTGTAAACGAGGTAATTTATATTAGTCCTTAGGTGTGATAACGTAAGAATTTGAAGGCAGATGTAGATGTCTATACACCACAGCATTGCTTTAACGACAGGTGCACTGTGTGCTTCTTTGTCACCTTTATATCATTAAAAAAATTAAAAATGTTACTTAACATTAAAAACAATATGTTGATAATGTCACTTCATTATTATTCATGGCCAACCAGAGCGAAACAACTGCATAATTCGATCCAGATTTCTAGTTTAAAAACTATAAGCAAGCGAATGGCTTTTAATAATGG